AGTTTTTGTGGAATTTTCTCATTTCTGGACTTAAAACTAGATCACACAGGCGAAGCCGCTGGCGGAAGGCTAGTACATTATAATAGCTAAATTTTGCATTCAGAACGCTATACTGGAAATTGTTCTTGATTGCCTGAACCTTGTTGAAAACACGCACACTACAAGCGAAACGACACAAGTGCTTGAAAATTCGTCAGTCCTGTTGGGTCCTGGGTAGGTCAGTGTCGTGAGTTCGAGTCCCATTTCAGAGTACCTGGGGCTGGTGAATTTTTTAAGCATTTTTCATTACAAATATTGAATTAGACATGATTATATCAGCGAAAAACAAAAGAGAGTGTATTTTGCATTCGTAAAGAATCGGAAGGAGGAATATTTCTATGTAATAACGGGTATGTAATATTTTTTGTATGTTCTTTCACCGCGATACATCTTAAATTATAAAACAATTATATCAGGCATGTATTGGAAATATATAATTATTGGAAATATATATAATTTGATTCCCACACAAAAAAATATCAGTATCACAAAAAAAATCAAGAAATTTTATTAATAGGCTCTTATTAAAATTTTAAAAAACGATCACTCTCTGTTACTGTTCTCGTTGAATAACGTTGCAAAATTTTCTTCGAAGGACAGATGGAAAATTTATCATAAAATTATTTATTATAAAGTGGATAGATTTAATTGCTTGTATGTTTAAAAACTACTGGACGTATGGACAACTACATCATACGCGGGTGACATAGGCTTTTCGTGAATGAACTATTTAAACGTAACATTATTGCAATCAGTAAATTCATATTGTTTAACAAAACAGGTGTTCCGACTGTTATGTGGCACTTGTGTTGGCGTTAATCCGGAGACACGTAGCGACTCAACGTCACTGATAACAATGGACAATGTTACGTATAAGTTATCGAGAAATTTATCGATATTATAGTACAACTAGCTTGATAACTTGCACAACTAGCTCGATAATTATTATTTTTTGCTATTACAACAGTATTTTTCCATAAAAGGCGGGCTTCAAGTTCTTATCTAAGACGTAGACGAGTAAATATATGTTTGTTTTTTAATTAATAATCAGTGGATCAACAAGAACTAAAACGTGGACGGGTTATAGAGAAGCATCGTGTGACGTCCCATTTCAATTAACTAAACGTCAACGCCTTTATTGCGAGCAAGTTAAAAAAACCCCAAATTTTAGTAAAATAAAAAATAGTTTAAAATTGTTTTAGGTTTAAGACAGCAGAACAATCTGTGTTAGACAATGGTTGGCACCATTAGTCTAACACAGATTGTGTGCGCGCTACGCTAGTTGTATTCTGTTATAAAATTAATCTCGAATTCGAAACTGAGGACAGCACTGTCATAGCATAGATATTCAATAATTGAAGCCGTCGACAACGTCGTTCGTTGCTGAGATTGACGCTGGTTTTAACAGAATAACATGCTGAACTCATTTGACTCGAAAAGAAAATGTCCACTTGACCGTACTTAAATAGTAGATAATAGTTATTAATTGTACTGAAGCCAGACTTAAAGTCTGTAGATTATAAAGGTGCATGCGGGGTTGCGCTCGACTTTCCCGATCTTAAGTAAAGTACCTATAATACACTACTTAAAATAAAAATATAAAAAAAATAAAACAATATTCAGCAGTTTCTCGGTCACAAACAGTCTACAGATAAATGAAACATTCCTAATAATAATATTATTATCAAGATTATATTACCCATCTACGAAACGTCCTGCAATGACGTTCATCTCAAACAAAGAAATCATTCGGTAATCTACGAAACTGACTAAATTATTATACCTCGTATTTTTGTTGTTCTGTCTGCAAAAAAATAAGGGAGACTTACTAATAATATCGATATTCTAAATCCCATCACTAATAGTAGATAGGTACTAGGAGCGTTCACAAGTGATATTAAATCGTTCTCATTTCACATAAGACGCGGGCCAAGGCATACGCAAACGAAGATGGCTACCGACAAGATAACGGTCAGTATAATCTAACCATTAAATAAAGTATTTTCAATAAAAAAATATTTGTTGGCTAGCGATTATTTTCATTGTGCACGGCGAATTACAGATAATAAACTAAGAGGAATCTGTATTCAATTTTTTTTATGATCCAATGAGTTTTAACCACTCTATATAGGTAAATTAATAATAAATATAGTTTTTTATCATCCATAATCTTAAATTATAAATATTTCAATCTAATTAAATGAAATACAATGACTGAATTGCTTACCAGTCTTGTCACAACATTATTTGCTGCTCCATATGTTTATTACTTTATGAGAATATTTTTTATGCACAAGTTAATCTAAACATAAGGCACTAGCCACATAAGCATTGATTACACTATTCAACATTAAAAAAATAGCGTTTGTACGAACTTCCCTGATGTTTTCTGCTATACTTAAAAAAAAAATACTGAAAAAATAATTTATAATATATATTTTTATATTTTAAACAGTGGAAGGCACACATAGGTACATATATTGTTACAAATGTATTTAACAAATTAGAAAAATCAATTTGGTGTAATAATAATGTAATCAGTATAAAAAAGGTAATTCCTTTGTGCCAATATTGACATCAGCCCTTTCAATTGGACATTTAAAATTTATTCACGAACGCTAAAACTATTTGAGATATTATAGCAATAGCGACCGCGACTTTTTTAAGATACGAGTGAAAGATTTCGTTAATTATATTTTAATGAGGACGTATTTAAGAAAAAAAAAGAAAGCACTAAAAAAGCACTTCCACTAGGTGGCGACTGTAGCAAAAGTTGATTTTTGCAGGAAACGATTGAACCAAAGATGGTCATTTCCGTTCCTTTTAACTAACCTATTAAAAAACTGAAATTTGCAAAGTTCGAAACTTACATATCAATAAAAATATACGAAAATATACGTTGTTTATTGAGTTTTGAAATCTAATTTACTTTTATACATGAAAGAAAACCGGAAGGGTTGTCATAGAGAAATCAAGAAAATACTGTAGTGTCATCTAGTTTGATTTCGGGAACTAATGATTTTTTTAAATACTTCCTCATTTCGTTAGACGCCATAGTTACTTTAAGTGTAAGGTACTTAGTTTTTATAATATAAATATACCATACGTTAACCATACGTTCCAAACGTTAGGTTATTGAGATAATATAATTACATAATTTACTATCGCATTTGCTGTACCTTTGAAAGGGATTACCATAAATTTTGAATTAAGCCACTGGTGTTAAATAATTCTAAACTTTATTTAAGCATTCAGCCTGCTCTTCTGATTCTGGTATACCATCGATATACTTCTAATATGTATGTCCGATAATATGATAATATTAGTCGTCGACTAAAATCAAAAAGTAAAGAATTATATAAGACTGGAGTATTAAATTTAAAATTGATTTAATACTCTGAGGCGGAGGTAAAGATCCATCTTCAATGCTAAGCTTCTTAAGGACTGACATAAGCTGCAAAATATTGGCACTTCAAGAAAACTAAGTACCTACACGCTAACATAAGTAGAAATTTAAAGCATATTAATAACACTACGATGTGTACGATGTCAAGGAAACTGAATTTCTAGGAAAAAGAGTAAAAACAACTTAAAGAGGATGTTGAGCAGATTAAATTAGAATCTAAAAACTGTCAGATTATGAAGTCTAAGTCCACTAAATAACAAACAGCTGTGAATACCAACATTAGAGCAACGACAACGTTTGAACTAAGTATTTTGAAGTAACAGGAATACCCAAACCAAGGTTCTCGCCTTTTGGAAAACAAAATTCGAGACATTCAAATAATCATCATAATTAACCGGACTTATGTAGATCGTCATTTGCAACAATTAAACTGCGCGAAAAACAAAAAATAAACTGACTTAAAATGAAAAATAGACAAAGTCCGCCTAATGAAAAGCGATCACTCTAACAATTAGCATAAACCATCGGTCTTAACATGTTTTTTTAAATTATTTTTTTAAGGATTCTGCTTTAATCAAATCGACTATTTTAGTTATCAAAGAGGGTCAACGCGGCAACACAAAGTTCCGTGAAATTGTAATCGTCAATTTAATGACAAAGGTTCTAACTCTTTTTTATGAATTGACAAAAGTAATAATTAAATAACATTGGTTTAATTTTTCAAATTCACTATCCCAAATATGGACTTAGATAATTTGAAAGATAAATTGCAACTCGAAGATAAGTGACGCACGATAATTAAAGGCAGGGAAATGATAGATGAGATCTACTGGACATTCGACAAAATGAAGATACAAAGGCATATGTTGAAATTACAAGGAAATTAATCAAATTAGAGAGGATATATGAATACAGTATAGAACAATACAGTGAGGAACAAATAAACACAAAGATCTGGAATAATAAACACCAAGAGAAGTCGAACACCTAAAATTCAACTGCAACTTGTAAGTTTTAACGGAAACTATGCACAATGGAGACCGTTCAAAGACTTATTTCTTGGAACCGTGCATAATAACGCTTTTATTTTAAGCGCTCAGAAAATGCAGCATTTAAACTCAAAGCTTAAAGGTGAACTAGAGAGACTTGTGAAACATCTCAATATAACAATATAAGTTTTTAATTATGCGCTAGGTTGTGGAGTATTGAAAATTTAGTAAGAAAAAGTTGGCAATGTAATCGACTCCGAACTATGCTGTTGTCGGTATTGTGTTTCGAAGTTATTGAATTCCCAACCGTACAGGTTATACTTAAACTAAAATAATACAGGTAAAGCGTAAAACGCCCACAGCATCGCGCTCTCCATCAGCAGCACTAATATCCTATGCTTGCGCTTCGGCCCTTGCACCTCGATTTCTGAGTGTTATCTTCGTTGTTTCAAATTTCATATATCAATTTAATCTATATCAATTTAATGCATTCTCCTGCTCTAGAACAGATCTCAAGTCTTGCTGAGAGCATTAGTCCTAGCATTTAAGTATAATAAAAGACAATAACCTCAATAATTGAAATTGAAACAATAACAATAATTCAAATTTAACTACATATACGTTATATAAATAGGACAATTACGTAATTATAGGAAGAATTTAAATATAGATTTTATTCGTGTACCTACATCAGACCCAAAAATGAGTGTCTTTTTTTTCTTTTTTGTTGTTTTACAGTGGTGGCAGTGGTTGGTCCACGTCAACGACTTCAAGCAGTTGTGGACCGCACAACCTACTTACGTTATATCCCAAGCAGTTTTCCTCTTAGCAGGCGTTGTCACATTAATACATGGTAATATTAATATACTCCTGTACACAATTATGATGATATTGCAATTTTATTATATTTCGCTGTATCATTTTTTTCCGGTATTTAATAATACCACTTTTCATCACCAGTTTTCATTACGCCGTAATAAATAATTAGGTTTCTATCAGTGAGCGTGTGAGGTACCTAAATATCTAACTTTAATATTAACTTAAACCAAATTAGTGCTACTCACACAGAAACTGCACTAGGTCCACAAACGTTACAATTTTTTTTGCTTGCGTTGCTTTTTTATCTTTTCTTGTAATAAAATTTGAATTTTTAATTTCTCCATTACATTAACCCATTTTGACAGTAAGAAAAAAAAATGAAAATTAGACATTTTCCTAATCTGAATTCGGAGATTACAAATAGTATAGCCAGTAATATTTTATTACAAGTTAATGAATACTATATGCAAAAAGAGTCTTCCCCCAACTTGATATTACAAATAAATTAAAAAAATATATAAAAAAGAGTTATATTTACTACCATATAAATTCTTTTTTACTTATAACTTGTTATGATAGTCTGGAAATATTAAAGCTTTTATCAGTGGCCAGGAACTTTTGCTCGTCTTATGAGTTTATTTTATGAAAAGTACATTGTTAAAATATTTGTGCTACTAAATTGTAATATTTTAGCGTACAGAATAAATAAAATAAATATTTTTGTGGTACTACTGCTAGATTGATCTCTGAAAACATCTATGCTATTCTGTAATGTGTTCGACTTCGACTTTGAGGCTGATTTAATTATCGAATAGCATAGGTGAGAGCAAAAGGGTCAAAAATTTCAACGAGAAAACAATTTGGAGCGTATAAAAAATTTACATATCACTTCTACTAGACAAAATTACTTGATTGGCAATTTATTATTCCTAAAACAAATTCAATTTTCGTTCAATGATATTAAAGCTTTTATGTCTATACGTGCCTTTGCACTAAAAGATACGTTCGCTCTACCTTGATCAAAAGTTACTTAGCTTATGTACATAATATATAAGAGACGGGAGTATTTTTGCACGTCTAATTTACTTTGCGTGAGCTACGACAATTTTTTGGTGTAATTTCTTTAACAACTATCGTCATAAGCCAATCAATTCACTGATTCAATTTATAAAGTTTAGTGAAATGAATTCCTTGAAATATGGTAGTTCATTAGTGGAATCCGGATAAATGCCGTTCTCTATTTTTTATTTAACTTAAATAACAGATTAAAAACTATCAAGAACTGGGAATTTTTAATTAAATTTTTTTATTAAACTTATATTTAACTTGGTATACTGACAATATTTTAGATTAATAAAAAAAATAGATTTTCAAAAAGACTAGCTCGGTAGTATAGTGAATTAGCGCCGCGGCCAGCGATCGATTGTTTTTAAGCAACTTTTGCAAGATGGTCGGTCTTACATGGCGGCGTAAAAGGGCTGATGATGGATCAAAAATTAGAGATCTTTTCTACGTGTAAAACGAGAGAGAATAATATTGGTGGTTAATTAGCTTTCAGAAAGGGTGGCAGATGGCCTTACTTTTGGTTGGGCACGGTGTTGCATGGACTGTATGCCGACAACTTTTGGCACATCGTTTTGCCTGAATACGATAACTTCTGGCATTCACAGACCACCCTGATATTCCTTGGACAAAGATTGCCACTACATATTATATTATTATGTAAGTAAATGTCATATTATACCAAATTATATTTCCACATTTTTATAAAACCAAAGCCCAGTTGTGTAGTTTTATAACCAATTCTAATATATAACTAACTGAAAGCAGTTTTGGAGTGATAGTATTTAAGTGAGTAAGATTTAAAATTCGCATCCCATCTCGGTCATCTGGGACTCGTGGATTTTTAAGCATTTTTCATTAAGATAAATATCATTACAGCGTTAAGAAATAAAAATTAATAAAGTTGATATATCTTCCTGTTATATTTTTAAGTTAAGTTGAAATGTTTGTTAATTTGATAAACTTAATTTTAGACCCGGCATTCATATATCACGCTGCTTATGCGGTCTCGAAACTGAAACTACCGAGATACGCGGAACCATTCGCTGTAGGGTTGGTGACGGTACTGATAGATATCCCTTATGATATCGTGGCCGTGAAGTTCGTCCATTGGACATGGCACGACACCGATCCAAACATCTATGACCGCCACTATTGGGTACCATGGAACTCTTACTATTTCCATTCTACTTTCGCTGCTAGCTTCTTTTTCTTCTTCGACGCCACTAGGAGATGGCTTGCACCCAAAGTTGCGCAGTGGGAATCCGCTGGGTAAGTATCTAAACTAAAATCAATTCACGTGTCCACTGCATAAACTACAACAAGCAATCCTAAGCATCTCTTTCAGCACGAGAAGGAGGAATCAAGTTTCTTTTCATGGTGTTACAATTTGGAAATGTGAGGTTACCGCGTAACTACACTTAGGTACTTCGATTTCCTTAACATCGGATTGAATCAAAATGCACTCGACGTTCAATACTATATTGATGGTTACTCGATACGATGTATTTAACGTACACGCGTTAGTAATATTGGACGTTAAGTGCAATTTGATTTTATTTAATGTCAAGGAAAACGATGTAAGTATTTATGCGCTGAAATGACAGCGTTTGTTTATATAGATAACAATAATTACTTATTAGTTTGAAGCATTAACTTTTTGTAAAATACATTTGTTTAGCTATTATTTTACTGTTTATTGGTGATGTCCGCATGTTGCTATAATTTATCACCGGTGGAACAATTTATCAGATTTATATTCCTGGTTATCGTATTACATATTATAATTAACGATAAGTTCACTAATCACAATTAAAACAGCTGTAGCTAGGCTATGAATACATGCGTTAGTGATAATTGCTTACTTATAACCTGAGATTTTAATGAAAATCATTCCATTTCAAAAGTTTTGGATATTAATACATTTTACTACTCAGCTACAGCAATAGATGACTTTGATAACTTTTAATAATGACCCTACATACACCAAAACCATAATTGTAAAAAACCTACTTCAAATGCATGAAAAACAATACTCGCACACGTTTTAATGAAGAGGTAAAAAAATTCGTCGACGAATAGCACATAGGAAAGCAAAATATGCAATCTTTTGTTTTCTTAGATAATAATAAATGTCGTCTTACTTTTTGTTATTTGACAGAAAACAACTGGAAAATTCTTTCAAGCAATGAAAGAATTTTCCAGTTATTTTGTTATATAAATAAAACTGCTAATATGATTTCTGAAATAATTTATATGGTACTACATCAGATCCATTAGCATCTGAATGAAAAAGAATTTTTAAAATATTGTACCCTATGAAATAAATGACTGTATACACGGAGAAATCTGCGCACATAATGTTAATTATCCTGCTCTAAGTTACGTAAGTTTTAATGCTTAAAATAGGACGTCATATCGATTTCAAAGACCCGGCACGTGTCCAGCAACACACAGGCTTTGGAAATACATAAACTAAGTACAAAATTCAACGCAATATCATTTCAAATTAAGAAATAAGTAATAATCGATCTGCTATGCTTTATCTGAAATAAAATCAACGCTGAATTTGACATCGAACAGCGTAGAGGTTCAATCAATTATAACATACGCTTTAAAAAGGTTTATTGCGTTTTTGTTTAATTATACTACTATGCTGTGACAAATCTGTATTTGACGTCGAGTTCGAGACTGTTTTTATTACAGAATAACATTGCAGAAGTTCATCATTATGTCATTATTTTTTTCGCCAGAAAAAAGGCTGAATGGAAAGCGTTGTTGGTAGCTGTCTTATTGGGTATGCCTGGTGGAGTACTGATGTTCGTGCCCATCTACCATCCACTTCACGACGTTTATAAAATTCACTCCGAAGTGACGTTCTTCCTCTTGTTCTCTATTTTCTGCATCTTTATCATCAGCGGCCTTCTGAGTGACAGGGAAAAAAATAAAGAAAAGTAAGACGTTTTTACATTACCATAAAATTTACACAGAACTATAGATTTGTCATACGTTTTCTTAAGATAAATTAAGATAACGGTTGCCTCACAATAGGAATCATATTTTATTTGCTATATTGCAAGAATATCGCCATCTTTCAGATTTATTTATTTCCTACTGTATAATCGGTTTATATGTGTGTAATTTCAATTAAATCGGTCCAGAGTTTCAGCGAAAATCTCATGTGATAGACGGATAGACAGAAAAGCGAGTGACTCTGTTAAGGATCCGCTTCTCGTTTTTAACACGGAATCCAAAATTGAAGCCACTATTCTATTACTTCAAGTTAACTTATTAGGTCACTACCAAAAAATTCCTAATTTTTTGACGTATAGGTACCATGCTTAGTTTTACAACAATATTGCACAAGTAAATTTCTAGCTTCTATTCACCTATTTACAATGAAAACATCTGTGCAAATTGTATAGATACATACCTTATCCAAGTACGTTAAGCAATATTATTAGTAGAATGTATATCTTTTGTAGTTTACATCCAAGAAATAGGTATTAACGAAGGACTGAAGGAGGAGGTTATTAATACTTTCTACTGCTTAAATCAAATCAGCTCGGTCTGCGATAAAGAGGTTAAGCAATTTTGGTAATGGCTGGTCATAGAATGGATGACCAGAAATTTATTCTCTCAAGTACCCCCGTGCTTCAGAAGGCACGCTGTTAGTCCCGGTTACATCTGCAGTCGTTAAAACCCACAAATCCATAGTGGGCCCGCTTGGTGGGTTATCGCCCGTTCTCCTTATCCGACTCCATCCGTAGTGGTTGATGAATTTAAATATTTACAGGTTAACAATTATCGACTACATCCTTATGCTTCAACTGGCTGTTCACTACGCAATTTACTGGATATTTGCTGTATTCTTCCATCCTGAGAAAGAGTGGTCTTTAGGATTCCATGAGCCAGTAGGTCCTTGCAACGAAGTCGCAACGCTCACCACACCATTTGGACAGGTTAATTAATTTGGCTTAGATAACATTTAGTTGTTTATGGTCGGTGAAAAATTACTCATAGCGGAATGCGTTTGTAGGTACATGACAGATAGCTGAATGTTGACTCTTGTATGTCAATATTCGTTAGTTTTGACATTCCTTGAGTGCCTATACGCGTCGCAGTTTCCGTTAGTTATGCACTGACTACTTGATAGGTACTTTTTCAAATTAACCAGCCCGTACAACATCACTAAAGGTTCTTAAACTATGGCGGAATCGAACAGAAACGCCAACTTTTGGGACTGTTGGAAAACTGTTAGTTGTTCCCCATACACGAATATAGTGTCGGAAACTTTACTACCTAAATTATTTTTATATAGAAAATGATTTTCTAATTCTATAAAATTTACAGTATAAAAAGTTATTGGATATATCATTTTCTTTTTCAGAACAATGCTCTAGACATTCTTTAAGACTTATATTATTTTCTTTTGAGGTACAGGACCGTTAAAAATGCTTAAATTCGATAACACTAATACGTGTTACTTATTACACTTACTACTTAGTAGGTAATTTTTACCTTCCACCCAATACAAGCCAAGCCGCCTGAAAATGTACGCTAATTACGAAATTTCTACGATTCCTTTAAAAGAAGCTAAGTTAAATTAAGAAAAAAAAAATTATTTTACAAATGCTCTAAAAGGCATTTCAAAAGATTTATTTGCAACTTTTATAAAAAGCACGCCCACGCTGATTATGATTTCAGACTCTTGAGAAACGCAAATACTTTTGTGCCGGTGATTACGACGAAAGCTATTTTGACTTCAACTGCGTGGGTGGACAGAAGCCCGCTAACGGAGCCTCGTGGTACGTCATTTGCGGCACTCCGTTTGAGTAAGTATTGTTTTTGATGAAAAAAGCTTACAAAATCCACTTTGTCGAATTGCGAAAGGCCATCTCAGACTGCTAGAGTCTGAGATGGCCTTTCGCAATCCGGGCGACTGCACTTACCACTGAGCTACACAGGATCTAACAGGACTAACGATTTTTTCAGGCATTTTTCTCTACTACAGTGCGTACTTTCATCAATATTCAGGCAATCCACCCAAACAGCCGAAAGAAATATTTTTACAAATATTTATACCTTCGGAAAAAAATACACATACTTCGTATTTTTAAATAAGAGATTACGAATAGGTTTATTTGATGTTTAAGTAAAAAAAAAAAGTTAACCAAATATGGTTAGTTATTAAAATATTTTCCTGTTAACTAATTTTACAATCCCATTGTACCCTATGAAATAAATGACTGTATAAAGACTCCTTATTGACGTAAACGGAATTACTAAAAATTCAAAAACAGACAGCAGCTTTTGCTGAGCTTAACATCTTCTGACGTTAAAACAACGACTCAATAAAAACTTTTTGTGATATAAAAGTTCTTATTGGGTTAAAAAATAAATTCTTTTATTATAATGATTTTACTAAATATATTTTATTTTCCCAGGAATCGTGCTGAATACATAACGGTTCTATCAACGATTCTCCTTGTTGCGTCAAGCGTGTTCTATTGCCTTTACTTTAAAACTGCACCTGCGGCCCCACCACAGAAGAAACTGAAAACCAAGTAATTAATGCTTGTTCACGGTGCAAATAGCATGAATATGTTGAATTTACGCGGATTTTTTAAAATGAAAACTCGAGCTTGTGCATACTCTGCGCAAATATACCGCGTATTTAATTTGTTCGAGTTGCTCGCACCACACAGGAGTCATTAATTCAATATGAAATTGAACCTCTTTCATTTAATATAAGTATACGCCTTTTATGATGTCAGTGTCAATATAATTCAACTCATGTTATGTTATGATTCGATTAATTTATAATTTTAAAAAGTCGAATGTTATAATTTATGGTAGTTTTTCTTTCTTTTTATGGGTGTGTTTTTGATCGTCGTTTAATTAATTGAGTTTTACTTCTAGTCTTTATTTAAAATGAAACATTATAATGTATCAATCAATTTGTGAAAAGCTCTACCTCTAAGAGCGAAAACATGAGCTTTCCGATTTATTTGTTTTGTTGAAGTGAAAAAGATTTTGTTATTTTTTTTATTAAATTGAATATTGAATAAATTGTTTTGTTTATTTAATTATATCAATACATAGGTAATATAACTAGCGATTTCCCGCGACTTCGCGAAATATGTTCTAATCTCTATAGCTATATATCTAAGCTGTCTACTATGTAGGCAGGAATATAAAACATACCTTCAATTAAGACTTTGGTGCTGAATTATTACAGACGTCTATAGAGCGTGTCTATAGAAAACAAACAGATATTTTCCATCATATCCCACATATTTTTGCAATGAGACGGAAAAGTACTCGCTGCTCGCAGCCGGCTCAATTAAACTTGGCGTCCTAGGTAAAGCAGTCGATCAGAAATATAGTTATATCAGGCGGCCTTGTGTGCTTCGAAAGTATAGGGCAATCTATAAAAATATGTATTTTTGACACATTTGCAATAATTACTCTAGTAGTGATTGTAGGTGGATAGATTTGCTATGTGTATGTACATAATTTCCAGGGACTTTATAATGACTCACAACCAATTTTTTATATCATATAATATATTTTAATCACTTTCAATGATATGTTTATTTCGACATACAATCACAATTATAATTCCTTAACCTCTATTAGTATTCAATCATTAGTGCCAATATAATGTCTGTCCAAAGAACATCGAGTGAAACATTGATTATAACAACTCTATTTTATAATATTTGAGACTCATTCAATTTACACAGTTCAAATCGGACGAACGAAATTTCGATTACTGAAATCTATTGTGTCACAAATGTATAGGTAAACGACACTTATTTGGGTTAATCAAGAAAATGTAAAATAATAAATATGTTGTTTAATTTGTCAAGTGTTATTATTTATTCAATAAACAATCTGGGTATGGAAGTTTTGCTAAACTTAAAAAGAGTATAGGCGAAGGTTTGTCTTATCATCTACATAGATCTGCCCGACCCGCAACGCTTGTCGCCGCGCATGAAGTTTGTTATACAGAAATAAATATTATAAGGGTTTGATTACATTAAATGCGACAAGGCATAGTGACGGACGGGATAGATAAATAAAACACATTGCTCTAGTCCACCTAAGGGCTCATTAAGAAGATATCATTCACCCCGCACGTATATAGTTTCAATATGGTGCATGTATGGTGAGATCTTTTTTTAGAAATATTTAGAAAAAGCGATTGAAAGGTAGTAATTATCAGTGCATCTTCTGCACACAATTTTTTTATTAAAGGTGTCAATGGAATGCCATGACGATTTCCGTGAACGATAGATCACTTTTACATGTCGTGGCATGTTGATAAACGCCATAAACATACAAGTTTCAGTGAGAGCCACATTGGCATGTTATGTCTACATAACAGAACTCAACATGCAATTTGCATTTTCAAACTTCTAACATTGTTTGGAAATTATGAAAAGGGGCTTTTGTATTTTTATGTTCAACAAAACTTACTGCATTTAATGTAAATAATACGTTTATTATTGTTAAAACCTTTTAGAATAATAGGAACGGTTCGTATAATAAATAATAAGAATACATTTCAAAATTCGCATTGAGTTTTAAAAATTTTGGTGATCGTTATTTTACGTATCGTTGCCATATTCGGCTCAAACTTAAAACATAGCATGTAAATATTTATATCTTCACATCAAAGTTGGTGATCGATTTTTTTTGTAAGTGCAATTATGACTTTTATATTTAGAAAATACTGATCTGACCCTTAGTACAAATTATCCCTTTATCAAATTTTAATGGTAAATTACTCGATAAAGTATCGGTTGCACATTTAGCTCGTCCAACCGTCGCCGATCCGACACATATTTAATATAGGCACAGAATATGCTACCTATAGATTATACATACATGTAGGTAAGCCTCATTCCACGTGTCGAGCAAATGTATGGAAACTACCTAATACCTATCGATCTACACTATACTCCATTCACTATAACATTAGAAAAAGAGGGTCGTAGAAGCAGCAGTGCAGAACATTTTAATTTCAAGATAAATTTAAAAAATATATATTAGTTTTGTTGAAACTTTGAACGTTAGGTAGTCTGAAAGAGCTGGGCAATTTTCCATTTTTTATGATACCTTGGGGTTGAGATGAAGCCAGCATTTTATAAATTCCTCTTTTATTCCCAAGCCAACATGGAACTAAAACTGAAACTATCTGTGTGTTTTGATAAATTCTAATTGTAAGTGTAATTAGTTAGACTATTGATGAAGACATTGGAAAAACTCCCTGAAATGTCAAAGTTTGAGGGTAGGTATGGGGGCTTACAGTGTAATTTTTGTAGGCCACTCTGGCCTGCACCGGCATCCTCCATATTTACCAAAACCTAACAACAAAAATAAAACAATAACATCACGAAAAACGGCAAAACAACAAGAAAGGCAGTAGTATTCATAATGGATGACATTCCCAGATTACGATTTTAACAACTATGAATAAATAATAATCTGACAAAATTAAAAAGCTATACTACCGAAACGTTTGAAGGGGTTAGGCAACGTTTTAAATTTGGTAGAGTTATAGTGACATGAGAATCGTGCCGAAACTATCCAACCCTGCTTCTTTAGGTTCTTTACGATGAACACTTTTTATTGTAATAGTTATTAAATCATTTAAGTTAGTCATATAGTCATAAATTTGTTTAATAGATAGCTTAAATAACAACAGTTAAGTATAGCAGCTGGTATTTAAGTGGATATGTAGCAAATTAGCCGTCAGTCTTAAATGTAACGTGATTATTGATATTTTGTCACAAAGTATACCATAAAAAGAACCTTATTTAACTTCTGTCTAATGCTATAATGAATGGAGTATACACGGCTCGGGTTCTACTTTGCTATTCTGTAATAAAATCAGTCTCGAATTCGACTTCGTGACCAGCACGACACACAAAACTCAGCATAGAGGTTCAATCAAATAAAACCTACTTTCAAAATATAGTATAGGTTGTATTTCATTGAACCTCTGTCCCGTGACAACGCTGCGCTCGACGTCGAGTCCAACGCTATTTTTTTTTACAGAATTCTTAGCACTGGTAATGAGCAAAATAAAATTACCTTCTGATGGTTATTATAAACTTACTTACTATTTATGTAACATACTATCTAATAATAACAATAGATCTACATACACACAGGAATAATAATTCGTAACGAGAAAAAATATGTAAATAAAAGTAAAAAGATCTAAAGTATGTAATGTCGCCTAATAAGGCCCACTGAGTTTGACATCTAAAGATCTGAACCACCAGAACATTCTACTGAAATAGATTTTGATTACCTACATTCCTCTTTGCTTGTTGATCTTTCGATTCTCGACTGACATGGAATCGTATTCTAGTCTTTTTACCACTCCATTGATCAAGAAGATTGATCCTTGTTAGACGACCATACTTTATTGCTGGAGAGGTGAAAGTTTTTTTAATATTATCGCAAAATATTTTGACGTATATATAGAGTTCCTTTAAAAACATAGACAACAAAGTATTTTATTTTGTATTCTATTAAAATAGATGTACATAAAAAAATATAAATGTGAATATAATACTAACGTTTTAAACTTATAATCGCCACAATAAAGTAATAAGCTTAATTTTAACGTTTACTTACTAAGATATTGTGCATTACAAATAAGTGCCAACATTACAACACCAACCACTTATTTTGTTATACTTATTTCAGTAAGCTAAATTCGACATAGTCGTAGATAATACCCAGCAAGTAAACCTAAGATAAGGGAGTTTTATGTAAGATATTAATATTAACCATCTGATTTTCATAAAATGTTACCTCGGACGAGATGGCAATTTTTGGTCATATTATTCATACAAAGTGTACTGAATTATGTAAGAGTATTATATCAGGAGCGTATGAATGAAATACAGATATACCTCGTACGGGAAAACTACATTCCGCACTCCGAAAATATACTCGAAATATATACTAATATTGCAAAAAGGTAAAGGTTAATCATTATTTAATACGTTAGTAAAATAGTTTAATTCATAAAAGTTTATAGTTATTAATATTGACGGGAGTGTAACCCAATTCCTCGCGCCCGCGATAGAGGGATCTATTGAATTGTGACGTCACATTATCACCTCAGTAGAGGACGATTACCTACGTGGAATTATAAAATCAGGGGCGTAACTATACCGTTTGAGGCCCATGACAAATTCATTGGATATTCATGTTTTTTTGCTATTTGCGTAATAATAAATGTCAGGAGTAAGGAGTCTCCTCTGACCCGAGGCCCCTTCCAACTGGGGGCCCGTGTCATTTTGCCGACTTGCCACCCTGTAGTTGCGCCACTGTACAAAATCTTGATCATACGCCATCATAATAATGTATTTTAGACGTATTTCCTTTGCAGGAATGCACTATTTTCAGCAGGATCATTGGTGATAGTGACCATAACCTTCTTTGAATCAGGCTCAGCTGACTGGGTAATTTTGACAGATCAAAATACCGTTCATATTCTATATTACGAATCATCGTCCCGTCCGACTTTTATGCGTATTATATACTTATAATGTTGTTTTCATTTTTTACGTCATTTATAAATACTAGAAGTAACCAAACAATAAATATCTTCAAATCAATAGATTTTTTAAAATAATGTACTAAGATTTTGAATTTAATAAGTTTTATGCTGTGCTAAAAATAATCATCTATAAATAACTTTAAAGTAATTTTTATTTTGGCAGTCATAAAAAATATTAGTTTAAACACAATTAAGGCATGGTATTCTTATTGCATCGACATCTAATATTAATTATAACATAAAATACAACCAACTTGGGAAATGAAAAACTTATCTCCTCCTGAGTTTATTAATAATAACAAAAATAGACCAAGAAAAATAATTAATTATACCATTTTATTAACATCCATTTATCACTTTTTCATTTAATTTAAAGGTACAACATACATACATAACATTAGAAAATATCACATACATTGCTCAGATCCCAAATTAAGTCGATAAAGTACTTGTGATTATGGAAATCTGAAACAATGAAGGTAAAATTGACTTGTCTATATTGTGTACCTACACAATATAGACAAGTCAATTTTTTTATATTGACCCGACCGAGAAAGGAACCCGTGACCTCAGAGATGGTGATACCATGAAATAGGCATTAGTGCCTCTCGGCCGCGGAGGTTATCAAATTACCAATTAATTTGCTATACACCAATAAATATAGGTACTTCTTAGGTATATGAATCCAAAATTTCATAATCTCAGAATATATGAATAACACGTAGGAGCTACAGAACGTCATTATTTACACGATAACTTTGTTTATGTGATGTTTCATTAACTGCATTTTTCCTTTAATTGCAACATAATAGTTTTTTTCTAAGCATACCCTAGACCATCCAAATGAGTAAAATTATATTGGCTGGGTGTTCTGCAATTAGAATTTCTATTCTGTAATAAAAATAGATTGATTTATTGTGGAATAGCACTGCAGCTTGTAGAAGTACAAAACGACCATATTTAAGGAAATGTTTTCTTATTATTTTATAGTAAATATTGATCGCTTAGTTATTTCCATTAGTTATTTGTTACCATTAATAATCGGAATCTCGTGAAAAAATCACCAGAATGAAAAAAAAAATCATTTTATGAAATTGGAAATCGTTACAATTTCATATGACATCGATAAAATGGTTGGTATTTATCATCTATGCTATGCTGTTTCCTTAATGCAGAAAACTTTAATCTTTTTTAGATTCAATATGTCAGGTAATTTTGCAGCGACTTGAGATTTTTTATTATGTACACAATTATATTAATTTATTTTATTAATGGATTGGCAACCCTAGGTACCCATAATCATACTATCATTTCTTTTCCTATACATAATTTATTATATACAAGAAATGAGAAAATGAAATTAATGAAAATGATTAAGCTTATAAGTTATTTTTGTCAAAATGAGCTTTTTATTTTCAAACATATCCATTTTTTTAATAACCTAATAAATTGGACAACTTCGCTTACGTTGTTCAGATTCCAAGTTGCTTAAAGCATTTCGATTATGGAAATCTTAAACAAAGAAGGTACCACAACACCCACTCTCTAAATAATATAGAAAAGCACATTTTCTACATTGAGCCGACCTAAAGCAAACCGAGACCTTCGATGACGACAACTTAACACACAAGCTATTCGGACACGGTGGTCGTCATATTATAATTATACTTGCGTATCTGATTTAATTTATTTATCACAAATACATGTACCATCTTTAGGCCATATCTTACCATCCGCCTTAGATGATGGCGAATTCATCTTTATAATAAATAAAAATAATAAATAAAAGACGACCCGACAAATTATTTCCTCTAAATTATTATTATTTAAATAAGACTGTCAACTTTTTATTTCAAATTCGTAGCTTGAGTGCTTTAATAATATTGTGCTATAAAGGAATTCATCAATATAAACGCATTACCTAATAGATATTTTCATTCGAACAAAAATCAAATTAAAAAACTTGCGTAAACTCTTCAAAGAAAAAGAAAATGATAACATTTAATCCTTTTTTAATGAAAATATTTATAATTTTGTTAATCTATTATTATCTGGGTGATTCCCGAGAAAAGTGTTCTGACGTTAGATCAGTAGCACCCCTTTTTCTCACTACAAGTACAAAGTACCTAAAATCGTCGACCAAAAACTAACCTTGTAGTGAAAAATGTGGCCATGGATCTGACTGAATATATTCTTCACAGGAATCATTTATCTTTTGCTTGGCAAAGACTACCGAGCTTAAACATTAAATCAAAAATTCAAACATTCAAAATTCAAACATGGTGTAAATAAGCAGTGCTTATTTGTATCCCATTTTCCTTAACGTATTATGTAACTGAAATATTGCACTGTCTATTACCTACTTATTATATTTTCACCTCTTCAAATTCATCTATTTGGTTTAACTTTAACATATATTACAATATCATAATTTTACTTTTGGCTACTGATCTTTAGTGTTCTAAGGTAAATTTGGATTTGTATTTTGTTATTCAGTTGATCCAACAATGTTAAGGTTATAAATTTTATATGATTTACAAGCTAATTTTATATTTATAATCAGCTAGGTATATATATATATATATATATATATATGTTTACTACAATAACAATATGCTGCGGTAGCTAATATTATGCACTAACGTTAAAAAAACAATAATGTTGCGTTTCGTTATAAAAAATGTAGTTTGTATATTAAATACAAGACAAAAAGAGATTAAGACTATTCGGGGACGGTTTGTATCTAAATCATACATACTAGCGGTGCCAATTTTAACTGCGCTTCTAGATGCTTCAGGAAAGGGATAGAAACAACAGACAATGGAGTGGCGCCCCAGAAATATCAATATCGGTGCGCGTTTAAGGTCTATTTTTGAATAGCTCTTCGACTACGTTGGGATCAGCTAAAGTGGACGTGTCTCCAATGTCTCTATCACCAAGAGCTACCTTCCGCAATATCCTTCGCATAATTTTTCCTGATCTTGTTTTTGGCAGTCCTGGAGCGTACTGTATGACGTCAGGTGCAGCGAATGCACCGATCCTCTGTCTGACCAACTTCTTCAGACTATTAACGAGATCTACGTCAAAGGATGCGCCTTCGTTGAGGCTAATGAAGCAATAAAGTGATTCTCCTTTTATTGGATGTGGTTTGGACACTACGGCGGCTTCAGACACCCTTGCTTCCTCTGTGAGCACTCCTTCTACTTCAGCGGTGGACATCAGATGACCAGATACATTGAGCATGTCGTCTATCCTCCCAGTTACCCATAAAAAGCCATCTTCGTCTCTTTTAGCTCCTGTAAATTGAAAAACAAATACATTATTTTTTCTTTTACATATGTACGTACTTTTTTGAGAAATGTCGTATTTATATTTCTCATTTTCTTTATCTTTTCACATACCATCTCCGGTGCAGTAGTAACCAGGAAATTTGGAGAAATAGACTTTTTCATAACGATCATGGTCCCCGAAAAGAGATCTCATGATACCGGGCCAGGGCCGGGAGAACACCAGGTAGCCTTCACCGGGACCCTCGATTACTTTGCCATTGTCATCCAACAGGGTTGGTTCCACACCAAAGAAAGGAAATCCCTGCAGATAAATAACATAATATGACGTAAATTATTCATTTCGCTTTTGCAATGTGTAAGCTATATTATGTATATATTGTAACACTAAGTAACCAAGCAGTGAAACCTAGGACAAAAACCACTGACACACTGATTTATCAATATAACACTTTTAAATATTAATTTAAAACGCAATGATAAGAATAAAGAAAAAAATTCCCCATATTAGGGAACGCAACTTACTGCAGAGCCTGGTTTCATGGGAGTGGCGCCAGGCAGGGTGGTGATTACGTGGCCACCTGTCTCTGTTTGCCAGAAGGTGTCAGCGATGGAGCAACGGCCGCTACCAACCAAATTGTAGTACCACAACCAGGCTTCAGGGTTGATAGGCTCACCGACGCTGCCCAAAACCCTTAGGCTGCTCAAGTTGTGCCTTTTACATGGAAATAAGGAAAAACTACAGTAACGCTAAAAAGGTATTTCTTGTGTTTGTTAGTTTGATTAACAATAAACATGCAGCATCATTAAATATACGGTTTTATTCTTAACTTGAAACTTAAAGAGCAAAGCTGATATGACGTCTACGTTTGTTCTAACGACGACACCAAAACTGTTTTTATAAATGGCAAATGAAACATTGTCCTAAAGTGCGGAGCTTGGTAAAAAGCTATCCTTATTAATTGTTAAGCTAGAACACGTCAAGTATCACGATTATCTCCAACTAAGTTAATAACAAATGTGTAATTAATTACGAACGCTGACGGCCAAGGTTTTATTCTTTCCACTTACTTTTTTACGAAGTCATCTCCAAATTTGATGAGTGCCCTGATGGCAGTAGGAGCTGTGTAGAACTGGGTGACCTTATACTTTTCAACAAGAGCCCAGTAACGATCATTGTCCGGATAGAACGGGGTACCTTCAAACTGAAACAAATTATAAGTAAACTTACAAGTCAACCTAAAACTTTTCTATACTAATATTATAAATAGAGAAGATTTTATTGTTTGTTTGCATCGAATAGGCTCCGAAACTAATGGACTGATTTTAAAATTCTTGCACCTAAGGGTAGCTACATCATACGGGATTGACATAGGCTATAATTTACGTGAGCGAAGTTACGGGTAAACAGCTTGTCTATTTTAAAATTCTACAGTTGATTGGTAAGTTATGTTATGGCAGGTTTATGCATGTAATTTGCCAAATATATACTTTGAATGTATTCAAATGTAATATTTCTTTGAATGTAACTTTAAGGCAACAGAAAGTTTTGTGCTCGATTGATTTGACGGGAGTTGAAAAACGACGAAGTCATTTGCATTGATGCCGCTCAATGTTTGAAAAGTATGACAAAAGATATCACTCGTCTATTCTTTCATTGGAAACTTGGTCATTGCTGCCTCCAAAGATTTCTTGAGCGACTCAATATTTGGGTGACGCTTAGAGCAGGACATGTTCTCTATCACAGACCACAATTCATAGTCGAAAGGGTTTAATTCCGGACTAGCCGAAGGCCAATCATCAACCTTTATGAAGTCTGGAACATTTTGCTCAAGCCAAAATTGGGTAGTGCGTGCCTTATGACCCGGGGCTGAATCATGTTGGAATGTCCACATTTGATTTTTGAATAAGGTGTTGTTGAGAGGTTTAACTACCGCTTCTAACACGGTATCTTGATACACTTTGGATGAAGTTTTCACTCTTTTTTCGCAAAAATGGAGTTTTGTAACCCCTTGGTAGGAGACACCCCACCAAACCATGACGTATGCTGGATGATGACCTCGCTAAACTTTGACCACTACCTCGGTAGCTTCTTTAGAGCTGTGTGCATACACTCGATCATTGTTTGTTGTAGTATTTCTCGATTGTAAATTTTTTTTCATCGGTAAAGAGAATTTTCCTGTGTTTTTCGTCCGCGTATCGAAATAACAGCTGTTTTGATCTTTCGACTCTCTTTTGTTTTAGTGCCTGGTTTAAGGTATGTCCTGTGTATCTTCAGTAAGCCCCTAGATCTAAGTCTTATTTGATAATCCGAGAAAGTGTCCTCAGTGGGATTCTCATTTCTTTGGAAAGGATTTTCTGCTTTTTTATAGGATTTCGACAAATTCTGGTCTTGTCTGCATTAACGGCCTAGTTTGTTTGAACAAACCGCGGTCGGCCGGTTCAACACGGTCATCAACAGACATGGTTTCATTGTACCTTTGTATGGTATGATACACAAACATTCGGCTAATCCATAGCGTTTTCAATGTATCAAAAATATCGGCTAGCTTCTTACCTACTTTGTACAGTGCAATTACTGCAATCCGTGCCCCACTCCATTTTCAAAACAAATATTTTCTAAGCAAAAAACATACAAAAATGGCGGGAAAGAAGTCTATTTTTTATCTTAGAAACTAATGTTCGAAATTCATATAAATGTTTTTTTAAATGTATGTAAACAGCCAGTAACATAATTTATGGCTAGACTAGGTCATCAATTCAGACGAGAGACTCCCCTTGCTGGACATAGGCCTCCCCCAAAGATCTCCAAAGCGATCTGTCCTGCGCCTCCCGCACCCAGCGGCTTCCCGCGACCTTCACCAGATCGTCGGTCCATCGAGGTGTACGTTGAACGACGAGACTAGGTATATAAAGCTGAATTTTATATATATATATATATATAAACGAATCCCTATTTCCATTGGTCACCAACATAAGTGAATGGCTAAACCGATTTGGATATTTTTTTGTTATCATCAGAAGAATGTTTTTATGAAAATTCATATTTTATTCTTGTGTGGAAAATTTGAAAATTTAAGAATATTTAACCAGCATATAAAATTATTTCAAATCTAACCTTAGTGCTTTGGATGATATAAACTTTTTTTAATGTAACCTTATAACGTTTGACATACAATTGACAGAATTGTCGGGTCAACTCATAGTCGACTAGTACGCTATAAATGCATTAACCAACACAAGTGATGAAAGACAATCTGCCCAGTTTTTTGGATATTCCATCCAAAGATTTGCTGATAAAAGTAAAAAAGCAAATAGAAAAAATAAATCGAAAACATCGAAGCAACTATTGTTGAAGTTTATTAAGTTTACTGTTTTGCAAAATAATCGATAAGAGCGCCAAAGAAAAAACCACACTCCAGCCCCCTTCTCTTCAGTATGTGGAATTAGCAAGTCGTTCTTACAATCCCAAATTAACCCTGAAGATACCGACGATTATAAAATAAGTGTAGAGAAAGATGTTCCTAAAGAAGAGTGTGTCAAATTATTCAGGCTATGGAGCTGTAACGGAGATTACTACGAAAAGCTTTAAAAAATTGATAGATTTCTAAATTTTGGAGTGGTTTTTTTTAATATTTAGTCTAACATACGTAAGCTACGTTTGTTTGGTGTTTTGCCGAACATACTGAAATTATTTTAGAGGAAAACAAAAGAATATACAAGTGCAGCGTGTATTGCTTCACACGATGGCTTTAAATTTCGAGATGGTTTTTTGTCAAAGAACAGAAATCTGCATGAAAGATCAAATTGCTTTATGTAGATCGCGTGATATGTTAGCGAATTAAGACGATTGCGAAGCATGTTTTTTTAGATCTTCGAAATAACGATCACCTAGACAACGTTCTTTTAAATTAAGTATCGACACACACACGTAGACACAAACACACACACGTAGACACAAACACACACACGTACACACATACGCACTATATTTGTAGTGATTGACAACACTGCACACAATAAGCTTGTATTAATTTTTATTCGTTACAAACTCCGCACTTTGGGTTTCGGTAAATCTACTGTACAGAAGAATCCATCTCTTCCGTTAAATGATCTTAACAAGCATTTTTCTTCGGTTTGTTCTCTATCTCAAACTATAACTTCTTCCACTGTCACCACCCTTACTTCCGAGGCTGTTTCTATTGATGAACCATTCTCTTTCACTCCGCTCTCTGAAGAGGACGTTCGTAAAATCGTTATGTCTATTAAATCTAACGCCGTGGGTTATGACAATATCGGACGAAAGATGATTAATCCCATTCTTGACTGTATTCTATCTGTCCTCACCTTCATTTTAAACTATTCTCTTTCTTCCGGTGTGTTTCCTATTTCTTGGAAAAAGGCATTCACGATACCACTTCCTAAAATTCATAATCCTACAGTTCCCAACCATTTTCGACCGATCTCTATATTGCCATTTCTTTCTAAAATCTTAGAAGCAGCCGTTTACAAGCAACTCTCTACTTTCATTTTCGTAATAACGTTTTAAGTCCTTTTCACTCTGGTTTTCGACCTGGTCATAGTACCACAACTGCCCTTCTTAATGTTTTAGAAGATATACGCGAAGGGATGGACAATTCAAAATTAACTGTTATGGTTTTGATTGACTTCTCGAATGCTTTCAATACGGTCAATTATGATATTCTGCTTGATATCCTCTTACAATCGGGACTCTCTTCTTCTGCTACGGCATGGTTTTCATCTTATCTTCATGGACGACGATGATAAATTGTATCGTTTGCTCAACAGTGGTATAAGGTTCATCTTTGGATTACGTAAGTTCGACCATATTTCTCAGTATAGAAACCAACTAGAATGGTTGCCTATTCGTAAGCGCAGGAATCTTAGGTTGTTTCCACTCTTTACAACATCCTATACGATCCACGTACTCCGAGATATCTAAAATCACGATTCCAGTTTTTGGGTGCTTGTCATCAGCGAGAACTTCGCTCTAGTAGTAATATTACTCTTCAAACCCCTGTTCATCAAACCAGCTTTATGTCAAACTCCTTTACTGTGACTTCTACTCGCCTCTGGAATGCTCTGCCAGAAGACATTCGGAAGGCCAAAAACAAGTGTGTTCAAAAGACTAGCGCATGAACACTACCTAAATAGTCCTTAGTTTTCCATGAATCCGATATTATGTAGTATATATGTTATTGTATATATTTATAATATACGTATATATCAATATTTATTTACGCATAAATCGACTTGTTTATTATTTTAGGTATAACTGTTTTTTGTTTAGTACTTCTACTTTCTTTATCTCCATACATCTTGCTTCCTACTTTCTGTCTGGTAGACTGGTAGAGAATACCCTTGGCATTAAGTCCGCCGTTTGCTATTCCATGCAACAAAGATTAAATAAATAAATAAATAGACTGATACAAGTATTTATACTTTATAGGATAGACTCAATTACTGTTAAAAATATGTAAAAAACAACAAATAAACTATTCAACTATTAAATTAAATTCCTTTATTGACTAAACATTAAAAGAATATTCATGTTCATATAAAATTACATTATACTCGTACCACAAAAAAATAATACAGTACTTATTTTGTAGCCTCGAGAGTAAGTAAATGTTGACAAAAATATCGGGTACATAAGTGACTAAATATAAAAAAATATCGTAATACTTATTTATTCCATTGTTACAAACGTTACGTCAATGCAAATCTAGGGTTACAAAAAACAAGCACTGTATGACATAACAAGTCAATGTTTGAATTCTCTATTCAAATCTCTCAAGTTTATGTATATTTTGAAAGAATGAATTTTTATGTAACCAAATACCAAATGAACTTAATTAAGATATAGGAATTTATATATTGTTTTGTTTAAATTGAAGAAACGCCATAGATCAGGGGTGGGCAACCTGTGGCAAGTTCATGCGGTTCGTTCGATTTTAAGTTGAAGCTCTAAAGCTACTTTACAAAAAAAAAATACCGTGTAATCGATGCGTAGCTGAGTACCCTTAATATAATAGTGATATATGGAGTATGAGTAAGAATGAGACATTCATAGTCGTTTATTTCAAATAAAATCTATACTAATATGTGCAAAGCAAAGCCCAAAATAAAAAACAAAAAAAGCAAACCTTTATCTAAAAATCTAGAATAAGCACAGTAGTCAAAAATCAAGATCAAAGCAAAATTTCTTAATGATTAAACGACTTCAATAAAAGAACTACTATTTCAAAGAAAACATTTGTTTGTATTTTTGCAAGCCATGGTGATTCTTCTGCGTATTAAAATAGCAAGAAGAGCAACTGTACTATTCAATGAAGACAGTGTTATCCACATAATCGCCGGTAGATTATTCTTATTTGGTTCCATCTATGCTTTAGCAGTGAGGACGCTGATAAGCTAATGATGATAATATAAAGGTGGATGCTTACTGGCAGATTTTTTAGCTTAAGACTCTATCCAGTATAGCAGACCAGTGTGCACACAATACCCTCGGACTACGTGGGTGAAGCTGCGGGTTACAGTTGGTCTCAAATATAATACAAAAACGAAATCTTTCAGTAGCTCGTTAGAATCTATGAAATTTTGAAAATTGTAACTTTTAGCTGCCGATTCCTGACCATTCTGTAACCGATTAAGTGCGCGACTACATCGCGAAATTCCACTTTATTTTTCACGATATAAATTATAAATTTATAGTTTAGCGCCAAAAAGAAAAAGGAAATGAGTGCAAAAGCCCATGGTAATCGCAACGAGGACGCATTAACTTGCTCAAAGTGTGCCATGACCGTGGAGCGTCAATATAGGCCGCTTTAATGGCTGCTACGCATAGAGTCGACGGCCTGGGTGCATGGTGTAGCCGGCAAGCTGCAGTGTGCCAGCGGATATACTCGTAAGCAAAAGATGGAATGCCAGGCCTCTGGCTCTCTATGTAACAGCCAGAAGCTTTTTTGGCTATATCGTATATGTGTTGCTCCATGCAGTTGTTTTAGATTTTTAAACTGAAAGTGAACATACTTCATTCGAATATTTAGATAGGTATATAACCTTACTAGAACTAAAACACGCTTGCCTCCTAACAGCGAAAATAACAAGTTAGAACTTATGAAATTCGACACTTTCGCAAAGATGGAGTAAGCACAATTAATAGAGCAGTCGTTAAGTTAGCTAGAAATTACACATATTGCTAAATTTTGAAGCGTTTTTCTAGAAGATTTTTTTTAATTTCAAAGTGTTACGTTTGACCTTTTTGAATGGATAATAATATAAAAAAAGCTTCTTACCATAACTGAGGTGGCGGCGTTAGCCAGTGGCGCATACACGACGTAAGTATGACCAGTAATCCAGCCAACATCAGCGGTACACCAATATATATCCTTCTCCTGGTAATCGAATACGTAACGCAAAGTTGCAGTAGCATACGTCAAGTATCCGGCAGTGGTGTGGAGGACGCCTTTTGGTTTGCCCGTAGAACCACTAGTAGAAAAATGAGTTAACATTAAGATACGTTTATTTGTGGATCTAAGATCTGCCTAATGTTTTTGAATCATTTTTGACCAATTCAATAAAATCTATCGAACACGAAGCTTTTTTATATTTGATCAATTTTCTAAGAAAAAATAGTAGATCAATTGTTCAAATATAATAATTACAACAAATTTTCATCTTTATCGAAAATTTAAATAATTGTAAAAATATTTCTTTCGGCTGTTTGAGTGGATTGCTTGAACATTGATGAAATTACGCTCTGTAGTAGCAAAAAAGTGAAGTGCTTGAAAGATTCTTCAGTCCTTTTAGGTCCTGGGTAGCTCAGTAGTTAGAGCAGTCGCCCATGGGTTAGAGTCCCATTTCAGAGTGTCAGGGTCAAAGTGGTTTTTTTAAGCATATTTCATTACCTTTTTTTTTATTAAACGATTTTATAAAGGGTAATTTGATCTTCGCTAACGAAATGTGTGTCACATTACGGACGCCAATTTATCCATTCAAAAGTAGAGTGTAACCAAAGTATGTGTAACACACTGCACACACAAGCCCTTTTTTATTATTAAATAAAAGAATTTCTTTAAAAAAGTCTTTGATTAGACAAAAATTATAAAGATTTAGCACCAATACTTACTTTCTTTAGTTAGCCACATATTTTGTGACGAGGATCAAATGGCCCTTTAAAATGTATATGTTTAATAAAAAAACTTCGTATTAACAGATTTTATTGAACTTTTCAAAAACATTATGCAGATATTAGATCCTCAAATAGTTTTCAATAGTCATTCATAACCATAAATAATCGAATCGTAGTGTCCGCGGCTTTTAGTTTTATTTTCAAAATTTTCTTATAGTAAAAACCAAACCTATGAAATACCTATACTTCATAGGTGAGATCTTATTCTAAAATGTATGATTTTACTTTTCAAGACTCGTTGTTGGTAGCAGATACAAAACAAAATAAAAAATATATCCCACATACATACTCCTAGAAGATAAAATGCTATTTTAGCTTCGCTTTAGTATCTACGCAATAATGACGGACTTGAGCAAATTAAAGTGATATTTTTTTTCTAAAAGTTATTAAATTGTTATTAAGTTATTAAAAAACTAAAAGTTATTAGGGTATTGTCTTAATATATATATATGTATGTATATGTGTCTAAATGTGTATGATTGTTAATTATATTCAGAATTCTCTATCACTGTCACTGCTTTACAAATTTTCTGCTTATCCTCTCCGGTTGACTGGTAGAGAATGCCTATGGCATTAAGTCCGCCGTTTGCAGTAATATGGCAATAAAGATTAAATAACAAAAATATAAAAAATAAATATGTTCTGTATCAGTTATTAAAGAAAATACTTATAATGACTTTCAAAGGCACTTTATGTTATTTATTATCATGCGTATACTTATAATTTGAATGACGATCAATAGAATACCAAGACTTAATAAAAAAAAGTTCAAAACGCAATTGTAGCTATACCACGAGCACTTGTCCCTTATATCTACTTAAATACTTAGGTGAAAATCATCTTTTTCTCATTAGATAGATAGTTGTAAGTAAACAGGTTTGTTGATAATAGGAAATATTTATAAACTATATTCTCATTGCACTGGTGTTCGTCGAGATATGACATGGAGACAGACAGAGAAAGGGAAGGTCACTTCGATCGGCAATAAAAACTAAATGTTGATTAGAGCAGGATATAAGCTACATCCGTGAAATGTATTGCCTTTGCTGTCAATTAAAATATATACCTTAAATTATTACGCATGATAATAAATAACATAAAGAGCCTTTGAAAGTCATTAATTTATTATCTACGTTTTAGAGGTCGAGGAGGTTGTGAATGTCTTTTTAAATATTCTCTGACAAGGAGGTGTTATATTTATTTAAAAGTTATTTGAAATGAAATGAAAATATCTTTATTCATTTATTTAAAAGTTATTTCTTTAAAATAGCCTTCGACCGGCTGATTCTTATTTTTTCTTTACTAGGAAGTCAAAATTTAGGGGAGCAAAAACCGTCCTATTGAGTAATTGTAAGCCTGTAAAGTAATTGTAGCCTGAGTAGTTGGAAGCCTATTTTCTATGCTCTTTCCGAACCTATACGCCACACTTTCAATGAAATAACCGTATAAAGTTATAAAGCTTCAAAATATAATTGTTGACGACATTATTTATATATTACTCAATATTTATTTATAGAAACGATAAACTAGGCTTTTTGGTCCCAGTTTATCGTTTAGCTTAATTAATTATTACGACTCCTCTGTCCATAACAGTACTAATTTTATCATTTTTTTCTCTACTAAGCTAAATTGCCAATCAGTAAATGAAAAGTTATTTATAAGTATCTTCGTGCTTAATTTGAGGTAAGGATTTTTGTGCTTGTTTGACATTATGCTTACCTAGTATATAACATGAATAGGGGATCCTCGGCGTTCATCCATTCTGGTGGGCAGATGGTAGACTGGCCCTCCACGATATCATGCCACCACACATCTCTATCGCCATCCCACTTGTACTAAACAAAAGAAATAATGTTTACTCACCTTTTTTGTTATATTTAATAACATGTAAGTAGGTTGTGAATGTGTTTTTAATAAATATTCAATTATACAAAATTTTGAATTTAATAATTTTCTCGATAAAATTATGCTGCCTAGTGAATTAGTTTTTAAAACAAATCAGTCGTAAATACGCATATTCCTTATATATGAACGTAAATTACGGCCTCTGTCATTCGCGTTTGATGGAGCTTTTCGCACTTGAAAGAATTCTAGATATAGTTAAATTTATAGTGCATTATTTCAGTAGTAATCGGTAAGTATTTTAATGATGCCATATAACCGGTTTACCCTAAAAATAAACGATACAAGAAACTATAAATAATAAGTAGATGTTATACTAATCCCATTAAGAAAAAAAATGCTAGGTAATCATTTTTGTTATAAAGATTCTTGCCCTAGGATTTTTATGCATATAGAAAGTTTTTCTTTATTGGTATCATTTCCTTTAGCCTAGGGTCGCCTGGTAGAGATTGCTACCTTAGCAATAAGGCCGCCTTTTGTGTTACTGTATCTAGTTTTATGTACCTATCTTACTGTATTTCATAGTGCAATAAAGAATATTCAATCAATCAATCAAAGTCTATAAATAAATAATAAATGAAAATGTTAACGTTAATAAATATAAATACCAACCAAGGTTGTGATGTCGTCAGGCAATGGCCCACAGGGGGTGACTCGTCCTAAATGGGACACGACAATGCATAGTGGCACCTCGTGTTTGTGTTTGATCTTGGCTTTCTCCATCGCCTCGTCGCATATATTTTTAAGTACCAGGAGCTTTTCTCCGCGCCATGCCCCATCCGATGTCACTAGAACCTTAGCTTTGCAGTCCGACATTCTCTCCGCTAGAGAATCTGAGGAGAATCCTGCGAACTGAAAAAAAATGTATTTATGTATAATGCCTAGATCTCGACGACCAGCACAGCACAGCACAGCACAGAATACAAGGACTGAATAAGAGTTTCAATGAAATAAAATTTATTAAATTGAAATATATAAATTGAATGAAAGTAGGTTTCATTTGATTTAACCTCTATGCTGCAAAACCCTGTAGTCGACGTCGAAAACGCCATTTTTTTTCAGAATAGCACTTCTGGTCGCATTGGCGTTTAAGCAAAATATTTGGATAGTTGGATAGTGGATAGTGGAAAAATGTATACTAACATAAGATAGAGCATTAATTGAAAAAAATATTAAGGCTGGACGTAGGTTAGACAAATGAGAAGAAAAGACGATATTAACCCGCATGTCAACGCGATTGAAGAAACAGTAAATTGCGTTCTGCGTGTCAAATATTACTAAAATTAATTACTCGCAAATAAATACGATTATTGTAAAAGTGCTCCGTAAAAATTTCGCCTACAAAGTACGTCATTCACCCTATTAAAAATATAATATACGAGACAAATTGAAAAAAATGTTACTTTATGACTTATTCGAGAAAATTTAATAAGACCACGTTACAACTGTGACAAAACTTTTAGAAATATGATTAAGTTTACTCGTTTTCAATAACAGATTATGTATACTTTGTACAAAACCGACGTAAAGTTAACAATGTTTGATGTACTCACGACTGAATGTTAATATGTTTTCCAGCAACTGATTTTGTACTCTATTCTCAATGAGTTAGGTTTAAATTTGAGCTTGGAAAATATGGCAATCTTGAAAAACCTGACGTGCAGTCAAATTTTTGAGTAAAACGACGATTAACTTTGAAGAGTTTTGCTTCAACGAAGTCACAGGAGTAAATATATTAGGATCATTGGGCCCCAGGATAGGGATCGCCTTGAGATTCCTTGCCAGTAACCAAAACCACGCGGGAGGGTACTAAGGAGGTCGCTGATGTCGAAGTTCGATGAAATGTGAAGGACAGTTCACCTCAATATAAAAAACCGAGTCGGCCTCGCGCACGTAGGATTTCGTACCGAAAACGAGCAAAAAATCACGTGTGTTGTGTGGGAGCCCCCTTAAATATTTATTTTATTCTGGTTTTTAGTATGTCTAACTTTCACGGCCATTGAGATACAGCTTGGAGAGGAGCAGACATACAACGAAGTTTTAGTAATAGAGTCCCTGTTTTATCCCACAGGTACGGTATATCCCTAAAATAGACTACCGATGGGAAGCAATGGTAGGTATTTATTATCAATAACGACGCAATATTAGCATCAAAGGTATCTATGTAACAAGTCACGTAGTTAATATTTATTGCAACCACGTTGTAACAAACAAAGCAAGATCAGTTACGTCGTTACATTGTTAGTAAAAAAATTATTTCGATTTGATTACTTCTTGTTAATGTCTGAAGGGATTTTGTAAAAAGTTTAAGTATATAATTATTTTCTGTGATGTGATTATTATTGTTAGCAATATCATTACGAGCACTAGACAGATTAATGTGGAAGATTTCGTTACTAAATTTGCAGCAAATCAGCTCAGATGAGAAATTTTGTTAAATGTGAGATTGTGTGTTTTAGAATGTATTGGATCTTTCTGTGAAACCATAATATATTTGTATTTAGGTTTATTTTTGCATCATAAATTGCAGTTGGTCCTTCGAGCCGGTTCTTAACATACACAAGCTCAGACTTTGTAAATTATTTTATTTTAGCAATTGATGTTGATCTGTACATCAATTCAATAGGTGTATATATCGATGTAAAGTTCTGGGGAGAAACTTGACAATATTGTGTAACCTGACGTGCCGTTGATGATACAAATGTAATAGTAGGTAAGTACAAAATAAGCTTTGTTATTATATTATTATTCTGTAATGAAATTAACCTCGAACTCGACGTCGAACACAGGGCTGTCATAGCAAAAATAAAAAACTAAATTTCAAAAAATAACCTAAATTACCTTTTGAAGTAAGTAAGGATGAGGTTATATATATATGTTGAACGCGATATATGTCTTTTATGTATGTTCACAGATACTTTCGTAAAATTTTTTTATTCGACTTGTTAAATCGTGGTGGTCGCTTCGATAAAAATACGCTTTCTATATATATATAACTTATATATAACTATAATATAGGGGGGAGTATGTGTGAACCAATTTCTTTATAATGTCGAGCAAATTAACAAAATCTCTTATTCTAAGACTTCACAATATTAAATATATTTATTTACATAGATATTTAAAATTTTTAGTGTTACCTATTATATAAAAAATATCAATATCATCAAAAGTATGAAATATTTTTCTTTTTTTTTTATATAAAGTAGAACTGATTTCAAACTTTAAAAAGTGATAAATAATACTTGTCTCAAAAGCGACATATTCATAGCTATTGAAGTCGGGCGCCTATCATTTAATTAATAACCTACAGAAAACCTCCGCCCGACTTAAATTATTATTATTACTTTATTTTCTTGAACTTGAGATAAATATTATTTATCACTTTCTTAACGTTCGAAGTAGTTTCTACTTTTTTAAAAGTTTTTATTTATGAACCTCTATGCTGTAACTGCGCTATGATCAACGACGGATTCTAGAGTGAATTTATTACAGAAAAGCAATGCTGATAATTAATCTAACCTAACCAAACAAAAAAAAATATATTTATGATTTGTATGATTCAGAATGAATAGTTACCACGACGGAATGTATGGCTCCTATCCTTGCGCACGCGAGCATGCACACCACAGTCTCCAGGATCATGGGCATGTATATGGAGACCCTGTCGCCTTTACCGACGCCGCAATCTCGGAGAGCGTTGGCGAACTGACACACTTGATCCATCAATTTACGGTACGTTACACGGCTGTAGTCATCAGGGCAATTCCCTTCCCTGAAATTAAATGAGCAATAAAACTTACATATTGATTTTATGCGACAATTAATATCCCCAGTGCAGGTACACAGGTGTTTCCTACAGACTTAATGAAATAGAGAGAATGAACGGTAGCCCACGACGCCATGCACTAAGATGTTGGTGGGCATAGCTGCAACTGCAACTATACCAAAGGCTTCATATTCTTCTTAGCTAATGCACTGAGGAACTCGATATAGTAAATTTTTGGTCACCCATCCTGACGTTAAAGTTGCTGAGCCTCATTGCATACCAAAAACGCTACTCATTGCTCTATCGAGCTCAATTATCAAATAGGCTTCTTTTTATCCTACCAAACGTTCCCTTAGGACCTCGAGGGCAAAGCTAGTATTAACCTCTTTTTCTAATTTTTTAATCTGTGATTTTAGAACGTGGCGGGAATCTAGTTTATTATAATCTACCTAAAAATAATAGGTACGTGATTATTAGCAGCAACATATTAATAGACATCTGTTTTATGTAATATACTTCTATGAAATTCAATCGAAGAGTAAAGTATATTCAATCAAACATAGCAAAGGTTTTATTTCATTGAACCTCTATGTGTTCGGCGCTGTTTAAAGATTGTGAAATGAGGATTTCTTTATTATAGTATAGAATTGTGATTGCGAGTCACAATGATAATATACATATTCAATGACAAATGATAGAGATCAATTTGTGATTGAACGATAAAATATCTGGTGGATGATTATTATTTTCACACAGATAAAATTTATCAATACTGTTGGTAAATTTATAAATACATGGTATTGTTCATGTTGGTGCTAAACACATCTATTATTGGCAGACCTAGTTTAATTATGTTCATTAAAATATTTATTATCAAAATGCTTACAAAATAAACAAGTTTTAAGTGTGCGACACAAGGACAGACGATGTCTTTAAGTATTTTTATGAATGAAATGAAAAACCTACCTTTATAAAAAAGCGTACATAATGGCTGGGTGTAAAGAAAATAAAACTGCCATTATTGATACCATTGAGCTCGACAATTACACAGGGGATAGCGAATTGCGTGGTAAACTATTTCTTATTAATTACTCGCATACCGTTACGATATTGTAAAATATGTAAAATATAAATGTAAAGTATAACCCTTGGATAAAAAATGACTCGCAACTATTTACAATTTTAAGAAGAAATAGAAAAAATATTGTAAACTTTTTTAGTATATGCACTCTTGTAATGATAATGAGATTCTGGTGAAATGCCTGCTTTTTACACAGTTAATAATACTTAGAACTCGTTCGAGTAAACATGACACCTGAAGACCAATTTGTTCCCGAACGAAAATTCGAATTTTGAAATTGTAATTTTGTTAATGTTATATCTGTGAAGATTGTCAATGCATCAGAAACAGTTTCAGATCTTACTATCGTTTATCAATTATTAGAAATGCGTATCTTCAAAGTCATATTAACGTTCCAGGATAGACAATATTTCCTTTTCGTGGAAACAGAATAGGCCTTCATGGGTGCAACCTAAGTCTCTAGCTATGATTGTTGCCATTGAAGATACGACATCTTATCGATTTTATCCCGATTCGTTTATTTTACTACTTTGAAATTTAAACGATAAAAATATAAATTATTTGACATTGCTAGTGTTACCAAACGTCACTTGTCTCAAATTTATTCACCTAACTACATGTTTAAGTAGTAACATGAAACGAAATATCATCATAACATCACTAAGATGTCGTGTCCTATAGCTAGAATCAAGGCTAGGGGGTGGTACAATAAAAATATGCAAGGATGGACAATTTTCTTATTCAACTAAAGAAGTGTAAGTGGTTCGAATTGTGCTCAACACTCTCGGCAGAATAGAAGATTCAATCAAATGTCCTTTGTGCAATTTATAGAAATTGACAAATGTGACATATAACGAAAAATCTATAACGTATAAAGTAAAGAGACTTATTACCACAGAACATAGATCGTGCTTATTACCATACATTTTTTTAGTACCACCATACCATATTATAAGTAATAGTGTCCACATACTAAATATAACCAATAAATATATTAATTATAAATTTGGTCCCTGTCCTTGTTTTTATGTTGAACATAATTTTGTTATAGTCTTCTTAGAAATATAGATGACCCAGTTGTTACAACAAACGTTAGCCTATTTAAATTAGATAAATATAGCAAAGAAAAAGCGCTTTTTTTTTCTTATATCAATTTATAATTCAAATTTTCAATTATTATCTTACGTCAATCATATTAATCACCCCATTTATTTATTAAGAGGTATTTCTTTCACTGAATAAATAAGAAATATTTTATTTTGCGGTTATCATGGAGATAAAATGCCTGTATTGATGTTTACCTAAAATAATTTAGATCTTTGAGTATGGCAACTCAAATAGGTATATAATATCATGAGACACTAGAGTGTCACCAACCTTTTCTTATCATTGTAGGCCACTTATTCGTTGTAATGACAGAACGTGACCTCCACATACGGATTGCAATGTCAAGCAATATAGCGACATTTATCATTTATTGTAATAATATTACACACACTGGAGATAAGATCTCAGAACTTAAGAGATAATTGTGTAATTTTAATAGTCTCGAGATTGGATAGACGTTAGGCACTGTTTCATATCTGCATATATCGAAAATTGGTTGTCATAACAGCAGAATTTTCGATATATCGTCAACTTTATCGTTAGGTCAACAGAATTCGTCAGATCATATAATATGTTAATGAAATCCAACAAATATTTTAGACCACATCTTCTCCATATTCGTATTTCCCAAATTTTCCCGCATTCCCAATTTATTATTCCAATTCCTTTTTCCATGACAACTTTATCTGTGTCAATACTATCAATGATATAATTATATTGAATCTCTAATGCTGCGACAACGCTGTGTAATACAAAGAAATGACAAATCTTCTTCTCCTGTGTAGTAGCCGTCAGAGTAAAAAATTTGAATATTTTTTCTTGAAACTGCATCCCGAACATGAGGGGAAGGTCGAAAATTTGACCTCTTAATGACGCTAGCTTTGTTACATCCTTTTCTACATAGATGTAGGGCAACAAATGATAACGTCCTTTTGTGGCGTCAATTATAAAGAAATTAATGGAAAATTTTAGCTATGTTAGTAGCAACAAATCACAAAGTGCTAATAAGATAATGCGAGAGAGAGAGTGAGTAAGAGATAACCGCCAAGGTCAAATTTATCGTTCTAATTAGAATGTACGGGAGTGCAATCTCCAGTAAAAATATATTAACTTCTTGCCGTCAGAGTATTGTAGAGTAGCCGTCAATCTGGGTTTTACCGTTTTATATTTAGTTTTAAGTGTCCGGGAAGGTTTTACCCACAGAACACGGAAAAGAGGTTTTACTTAAATTATTTCCGGATTATTATATCGTGAAGCCCGGATCTAACATTTATTTTCAAACTGGGGAACGCAACTTAAGCAACTTTCACACTGTCATTGGATGAGTGATTAAACATTGATTATCTCGAAATTCGCGAATCAGAAAACAAGTTAAGCCGACGGTCCTGGCTGCATCTGTTAGTCATTATGCCCCGCAATCTGGATAAGGTCACATCAAGTATAATGAAGATCCGAGCCCCGGAAGTGGGGACATCAAAGTGCTGATGACGAAAAATGAACTTTGATTAAAACACGCTCGTTGTACCATTAGTATAGAAGTAAGTTTATATACGGTACTTTATGTTTATAGGCTGGCCTACTAAGCTATACTCGTATTAGTAATATTAACAATTTAATACGTAAAATTGGACACGCTCTGTTAATTACAGAAACACCTACCTTTCTAACAATAATTTGCAGATTCCTTAAGCAGCCTAACATTCATTATTTAATTAAAATTCATTAAAACGGTAGTCGATCACCAAATTAGTAGATTTTCATAGCTCGGAAAACTACGGGCTTACACTGTTTCTCTGAAAACGAAATTTGGCATAATTTCGAAATGTTATTACCTACTACCGCAAAAGTATTATTCTTTATTTATAATTATAACCTAACGGGGATTATCACCTATTTTCACTAACCCAGAACAAGGCCTCACTTAACAAGGAATCGCCTTATATTAGAAAACTCTTAAGCAGATTAGTTTAATATCAAATAAATATTCTTTTCTTTTTCAAAATGCATTTTCACATCAGACGATTCCAAATATTAAGAAAAAGAAAAATTCCACTTCTATTATTTCTATTTTAATCTTGATTCTCTGATGAAGTGTCTTGTACATGACAGAGAGTAGATCAGATAAAATTTATCAGCGTTTAAGGTATTGCCCGAATTGTTATTGTTAAAAATTGTTTCTTAGATTAAATCTATGAAAAAAAATATTTTAAGATTATACAAAACTATCATCCTCCACTTGATTTTAATTCTAAATGCAAGAGTAGAGTTGAAATTCTTCTGCGGTTAGTTAACATTTGTCAACTTATTCAGTGTAATGAAAATCAATAAGGCATTTTGTTTTTCACGTTTTACCGTTTTTTTAAAGTTTGTGGTTCAGTACAGAACCCTCGATGGGTTTTTACTAGTCTTTTGACAGTCGAATCTCTCTACAGCACTTTAAAATCTTAATTTAATATTCGAATATTTATAATATAACATACACGGATTGTCCTAGATGCATCCAAGGAATCCAGATAGAAGAAATTTTACATGCAGGTTGAAAATCATAAGACATCGTTATCAATAAAATAAATACTGCTAATTCATGAAACAGCTTTTAAAGGTGATAAGTTCAGAATTGATTGCGGAAATTTGTCGTTTTATGATAACCTGTTGTGCTACTCTGTAGATAAAAGACAATTATCTAGTTACCTATCCAGTACTAAATTGTGTATATCACGTGATAATTATTTGAAAAATCAAACTTAACGGATTTCTGGACGGACGGTAGGATGTATGGCTAGTTTACATGTAATTAGGTGAAAGGAGGACAAAATGGAAGAGCTAACTTCGTGTAGGGGAGCGGGGGGTATTGGGAGCGGTCGGGTAATGAGAGCGCTACTGGTAGAACGGAACGTATTCGCTTTGGCATGATCGTAAGTACTCGGCCGCTTCCGTCAAACATCGACAAACTTCGCCTGATGCGCACGAGCCGGCAGTCCAATTAGTTGAGTCACGAGGGACGGTTGTATGTTTTTCGCTCTAAGCTTACAGGAAAACAGCAGATTGTCAGCGCCAAGGTAAGCATTTAGTTATATTCTTTTTTTAATGGGTTCGTCCATAACAGATCCATCATTTCATATTCTAACAATTCCAATTGGTTAAATTGAGTTTGAAAATAAAAGTACGTATTTAGATTAGTTTTTTCCAAAATGGAGGTCAACGGGTAATGGTAGCCTAGGATGGCTCTCACTACCCGACATAGCTTCCATTACCCCATTTCCAAAATTATATATTGATGTCGTTTCAGTTCTCAAGAAAACTTCTTTTTTATTTAGATGCCACGTAAAAGGAATCGTACGACCACAAAAGCATCATGGACGGTTGATACACTAGAAAAAGCCGTCACTGTTTTAAAAAGAGGAGGTACTTCGGTATACAAAGTATCTCAATAAACCGGCATACCTTACAGCACATTAAAAAAGAGATACAATTTAGCGAAGGCAAACAATGCTAGTTACAAAAACTCTCCTAAGCTGGGAAGGCGTACTGTATTCAGTATTGCACAAGAAGAAATACTGGCTAACCACCTTCGAACTATGTCAAATAAATTTTTTGGCCTGACGAGAGAACAGTTTCATAAAGTATGTTATAGTGTGGCTAAACAGCTAGGTGTAGATGATAGATTTAACCAAGTCAACGAAACTACGGTAAAAGATTGGCTAGCTGGATATTTACAACGCCATCCTGATTTGAGCATAAGAAAGCCTGAAGGTATTAGTATTAATAGAATCCTCGGATTTAACAGGACTGAAGTAACGCTTTTTTTTAACAACTTGGAAAGATTAATGACGCAACATAACTTCGAACAACATAGGATTTATATGTTATTTGTGTTTACTAAATTTTATGTACGATCTCAATTAAACTACTTAGGTTAAGTTAAATTTTTGGTAAATTTAAAGTTTGTGGCTTTTAGTTTGGATCCTTAAAAAATGGATAAGACCTGTTCACTTTTTGTAATGTCGCATTTATTATTTGTTGTTTTGTTTGATAAGTTGTCTTTTTATTTTTGTTAACTAGATTTTATGATAGATCTCACTTAAACTACATAAGTTTAGTTAAATTTTCGATAAATCTAAGAGAGTGGCTCCTATTTCCCATATGAGCGTTAAATAGGCTCTCATTTCCCGCATGTGTCGGGTAATGGGAGCGACTGACTTTTTTTGTAAAACTTTCATTATATCCTTATTCTTGGCTGTATTAAATTATAAGTTTGATTAAACTACACTCTAATAATAAAGGTAAGAGTTTCCACTTTAAAATAATTAAAATGTTAAAAAAATTTGGTTTTTATTAAAATTTTCCCTTAGTAGGCTCCCATTACCCTATACTCCCCTAGTAATAAATAGAAATGTACTTGGCTAAACATATTTTGTTTGTTCTTGAAAGGTAATTAAATAATGGTCACAAATTTCTAATAATTAACTCTATTCTAGTAAAAAAAAAAACAGTTATAACTCGTTAAGTAAAAACTTGAATAATTTCATTTTGCCATCATCCAGAGGGCCTCATCAAGGTTAAAGGCAATTCAGAATATATAAGTTTAAATTTTGCAATAAATATATATAAAACAACCACGTACGTATTTATTTACGATAGACATTGTAAGCAGTCTTCTGTAGCTGAACTTCGTGTTTTTCTCCAGAAATCTGAGATATCTTTACCTGTTATTTTCAGTTTTCCCTTTCCTTTGTATTTCCCTTTGTTTTTATAGTAGTATTTTTGTTCATTGTTATCACTTTCATTTTTTTTACTCCTTACATTTCGCATTCAACTTAAAAATTTCATCTTGCTCGTACGCTAGTATTATAATTAAATTAAAATATCTATAACCTAATAAAAAATTTGCTTCGTTTATTGTATCAATATGTATACTCGATTAATAGTACATATTTACAATCAGGACAAAATAATCTTATTTCTTACTCATCTTAAGCAATCAAAGCAGAAAATTTATAATATTTCCCTATCAAGTAAACACAATGCTTGTACATTTTACTGGCTGGTGCAATTCGGACTAAATATCATTCGTAAATCGCACCCAGCTCGGTGTATCTCTGTATATAGCAGCACCCACGATAGATTAAATATTTTGTTTATAATAAGAAGTTTCCATTTTGCCCACTCCTTCCATCTTCTCTTCCCCTAAGTAGATAAGTAGTAAGTAGAGTTTTTAATTTAATATTAAGTGATATAACTATAAACCGTTAAAATACATATCATCAAAGCGAGTAGGTGCTCATCTATACTCCATTTGATTGAAGTTCTCAGGCAAGTATGGAGAAGTTTGAAATGTATGACTAGAAACTGGTGCAGTACAATGCTTTGTGAGAAACGCTTGGAAAATTAGCACAAGTGTGTAGTCTAGGGCCAAAAAAAATGACAATGATCGGAAGTTGAAGGAGACGAGGCGAGGCAAAGTGGAAGTTGTACGAAGTGAAGTGGTATTCTACAAATACGAGTACTGTATTCGCTTACCATAACTACATGGATTTTCTACAATGACAGAAGAGAGAACGTCCTATTGTGATACGTTGACTTATTATAGAGGGCCGATTCTCCTGAATCCAGCTGCAATCGTTAACAGCAATCAATCGGCAATGAGCCCGCGTGGTAGGTCATGGGCTATTCTCCCTATTCAATTTGTTTCCCAGCATTAAGTACATTAATAAGCTACTGATGAATTATTGTAGCTGAATAATGGTTTAAGTTTAAACCTGGGTGTCGACATCTTAACGATATTTAAAACGACATCTTAACGATATATTTCGTTTATTTTATTCCTTTGACATGTGTTTTGGTAGACAATTTTTTGATAAATAGTAACACTATTGTCAAATTATCATCATTCTTTATCATTTTTAACTTTTAACCAAGGAAGGTAAAAGGTTTATAACACCAACAGGCTTCACGGGCTACAATTTTGAAATTTTTGTAACGAAAATCAGGAGAAAAAACTTTAAAAAAGTAGAACCGACTTCAAACTTAAAAAAGTGAGAAATAATACTTATTTCAAAAGTGACTTATTCAAGAAAATGCTATTGAAATCGAGCGCCTTTCGTTTAATTAATAACCTAAAAAAAACAGTTAGTGACCTCTTTTTTTGGATAATGTCCAGTTTAATTTAATTTTACCAGATTTTTATCAGGTCTATCAAACTAATAGTTGAATAAAAAATCTTTTAAAAATTATCATCAGTGAAGGGTTAAGGTGCAAATTAAAAGAATTGCGAATCTATTTTTTATGTTTCAATTATAAATAAATATTATTTTATTAATATAACTTTAATTTTAAAGAATGAACATACAGATTACTTTTATCAATACTCCATCAATTGTAAATCGTAAACTGAGAAAACTAATGTATATTAAAGGCGTAACATTAGAAATACACAAAAAACGCAACGAGTTCCATCGAGTACCTATACTCCATGAAACTCATAAGAACTCGATGGCGCAGTAGTTAGTGGTTCAAATTTAGAAAAAACGCACTAACTTAGTGCGTTCTAGGAGGGTGCTTTTGATACCCACCCATATCGCGATAGTAACAAAATAAAAAATAACTAGGTCGCCATCCTGGGACATCCGCCATATTAGATTTAACATGATATAACTTTTGCATTGTCTTCTAAACTTAGCCTGTTTAAGTTTTAGCTTAATCGACTTAGGATAATGGTTTTAAAATCAGTTATTATGACCCTTTATCACCCGCACCGATACAAAAAGAAGCCTTCCATTTATTTTATTCCAATATGTGTATCGTGCAATAAAGTCTAATTTACACGACAAATTTTATTATTAATGACCCTTATATAATATTATTTTTTTCTTAAGTTCGTATCATAAAATACGGAACAGAATTTAAACTGTCTTCAAAATTCAAGGTACCGGTATTAACGAGTTTATCATAGATATAAAACAATGTAGTCGATGATTCACATAAACGGCAGATGAAATTTACATTTTCTATTTTATGCTGTTTATGAATTATTTCAATTTATCCTTTTTTTATAAGAATGAATTCTCTCCATTGATATAAGATGTTATTTTTTAAAATTTTATAGTGCAAATTTCCAGCAGTTAATGTCTTCATTTTATATGTGTGAAATATAACTAAAGTCATATCTTGTTAGGCATATTTTTTTTCGTACCAATGGAGATAATACAAGCCAGTGAAAGATTCGCTTAGCAAATAAAGATGTCTCCATACGTAATCATTGGTAGACAAGATAAAATTACGTAATACTAAGGGCTTTACTCTAAACACCAAGTGGGTCAATGTTAAGCCAAAGAAAAATCAATAAGTTCGCGCGCCGTCTCCGTAATGCATTCGCTCAGCTGTCTATTGATTCATACAAGGGCAATAATAACAAAATATCTCACCAATAATATGCGATTTTATCTCCATATCCATTCCTCACGTTGCGGTCCAGGAGATTAAAGCATACGTTGGTGACGGCGCCCTCCATCCATTTGATAAAAATATTGCCCTTACTTAAATCAAAATTGTATGACATGAAATTGCCGGGCTGGGGTGGTGTTTGCCAATAGAATTCGTCCGCTATTTCCGACCAAAACGCTTCCGGATTGTCAAGAGATTTTTTATGCATCTCTTTGTATTTGTCGAAAGATGGTATACGCGATTTTTCGACGACATAATTGGATGGCTTGTAAACGCGCGACATCGTCTACGAGTGCGCCAAGAAGCCGCGATAACAAATAATATGTCTCTTCGCGGCGGAGCACTCGCGCTCACTGAGGCAATGAGAGAGGATAGGAGGAACTGCGAGTACCGACCGAGTGAACGTTGCTACATGTCACTCCATCGTACCACGCACGCGTACAACACCTCACTAGCGCATATTACAGAATGACGCATGCGTGCAGGGCGCATGAGTACTGAGCGAATGAGGAAATCATCCAAATTAAATTACACTTCCGATAATGCTTCATTTAAACTAAACTAAACATGCCTATAGAATCTAGTAAGCTTTGAAATTACCATCTCAACAGAGTGGTATTGCCAATGTAATGGAAACCTTTGCAACACATATTTACCTACTGTTGGCAAATTCAATTAGAATTTCACGGGATAGGAAAAGACATGGTGATGTGACGGCGTCAACTCTCGACATTTTCTGGATATAAAATAAATCTATAACTATATAAACAATAATTTTCTCTATGAATATTAATTTTAATTTTTTATTACCACTGTAAATACATAAACGCCGCTCTTCGCCCCCGTCAGACTTTATTATATTTATTAAGTAACTTTTAAAATTATTATTTCAGAATCTTATCACAGGTTCCGATCTTGAGATGGGCAATTGCCCAGAGCGGCGAAATTAGTGCAAAAATTACCTAACTTATTAATACTAACCTGATAATATGTATTTTTTTTGTAGTAAAAAACACAAAACATGTTTTTCATGAAATGAAACAAAAATATTTTTTATGTGAAAAAATATTCTTAAAGAAAAATGCTTAAAAATCCACTTTGTGCGTGGCAGTCTCCCGGATTGCGAAAGGTCACGGGTTCGAGTCCCATCTCAAAGTGACCCAAATTCGAATTCACTAATGCGTTCGAATTCACGTCATTTAGTCAAGAAATTCTATTGATTCCATTTCTTTTGTATATAAATATCAAACAAAATTGATTGATTATACATGTCTCACATATTTTAATAATATATCATTTCGAAACTCACTTCACTTATGTCACGAAACGTTATTACCAATTCAAGCTTGAGCGGATGCTGCTTTTTGAACTAGATTCGGACACCTGAGTGGATTCGAATTCGGGTTTGAATTTTTACAGAATCGCAGGGCTGTATAGCATCGTGAATGCGAAATTAATCAAATATAATAAGTAAAGAGGAAAGATACTAAACAGAATGATTTCCCCGATACCTACCTACGTAGTATTAAAATTCTTTCTTAAAATTTAGGGAGGAGAAAAATAATATGATGGCAATCACATTGTATAATTTGATGAACAACTCGATACTAAACAATAACTATCCAAATTTGACAAATAATACCATTTTCGTCAGTTTGTGTGATTATTCGATAATAAGTCGTGGTCGTTTAAAGAGTAGGTAGTGATATAAATAACTAATCTAAATACCCTGTAGACCTGTGTACCTAATACTTATCAAGCGGAGGTTTTCTGTGGGAAAAATTAAGGCTACTTGATACCCTAATCTGTCCCTTAGAGGATCCATTTGACGTTAAATCAATCAAAGTAACGTGTTGATTCATGCCAGCTTGAAATGTACATCCAGGTAATCGATCCAAATCGATCGTCTGGTGACCGGATACGGATAAAGTTTTTACTTCATGCTTTTTAGTTATATTGATATTTTTTATATATGAGATAACACTAAAAATACTTTTCTGAAAAGCGTCAAAACTATGTGTTGCTAACCTCCATTTTTTATTCGGTTAATATACCTAATACCTTCTTCTAAGTCTGACAAATACTACGTTTATAACCGCATCAAAATCGGTTCTGCCAAACGCGAGATAATCGCGCACAAACATACATTTCAAACTGATAACCTTCTTTTGGAAGTTGGTTAAATAGTTCACAATAAAATCAAATCAAAATTCTTTATTCAGTCTAGGCTGTTACAAGCGGTTGTGAAAGTTGACAGCTATGCCATCGGTTCGTAAATCTACGGCGGGAGACCTTGTACCGAGAAGAACCGCAAGAAACTCGACAAGGGCTGTTTTTTTCTCCCTGTTTTATTTCATACAGTGCGTCAATATTTAAAAATGACTTCATTAAAATATGAAGTCACTTGCCATTATAATATTAGAAAATATAAAAGTAAAACAGTATTTTCATCAATCGAATCACATGTCTAGTCAAACAAGCTCACCGAAAAAAAAATAATATACTCGTACATCAAAAAAAAGCCATATTTAACACCAAGCAGTTTTGTCGTTTAAATATTCATAAACAGTGTAATATCCTTTACTGAGTAGACAATGATTAATATGGGTTTGCAATTTAGGCAATGGTAAATTGAAACTTTCCATAGGAATGTTGTTATAGTAGTGTATACCTTGACCCATAAATGTTGATAGAACCTTCTTAAGCCTGCACGACGGCAAAACAAGTTTATCTTTGTTTCTAGTATGAAAATTGTGTACATGACTATGTTTAATGTAAAATAAAGTAGGTATACAATTGTATCGTATATCAATTGGGAGGCTACTGTTAATAATCCCAATTTCTTTGAATTTATCTCTAAGTGATGTTCTTGAACCTTATTGATAAATACCCCTTACTGGTCTTTTTTGTAAAATAAATACAGACTATCTGCGTTATAACGCAGTTATAAATGCCATATATGGCATAATGCTATGGAAATAACTAAAGTATACTGTCCTAGCAGTATCTACATCTGTGAGTTGCCTAATGTTTTTTATTGCAAAGGCAGCTGAACTTAGTTTTCCTACCAATAATCATTTCAGAATCCAGCCTTACACAAAAGAAGATTGTTGAATCAAAAATGGATGCTATGGTAACATTTTGATTCCCCGGACCCCGTAAAAACTTCCACTCCCATTTTCATCCCTTTAAGTTCTGGTATTAAGAATAAACTATACCCATTATCTTACTAGGATCTTAAACTACTCAGATACAAATTTTCATCGATATCAGTTCAAAAACAAAGAAGTTTCATAGAAACGTTTTCACCCTTTTATTTTCCTTCGAGGTGGTATTTCCAAAAATCCGATTTAAGTACAAACACCTCTATGTAATATGATGAATGCAGGGTGCATTTCAAGTCTCTGCGACCAGCGGCTGAGACTGTGCGTTGTCTGTCAGTCAGTATGTCAGGACATCTCCTTTTAAATATGTATTGATAATAGTACATTACGTTCCGGACATATATGAAGGTCAAAAGAGAAACGCAATGGAAGAACATTATTTTTACGCTGGCAATTTCTTTCTGGTGCTGTTTCTAATGCTCCCCAAGGTTTGATGCCCTTAGCAATTGGTAATTTTTCATACAAGCTAATCCGGCAGTCTCTATGTTACCTATTAATCAGCCGCGTCAATCTGATATTTATTTTAAGATTGCATATTTATAGTTTTTATGTACATTATCTATCAAAAGGACAATCATGAAGTACTTACTAACGGGACAATTGGTGAACTCTTCGCTTAAAATAAAACGCACGCAAATTGTAATTACATAAGTGATAGATAAATCAAACTATATGTAAGTAGATTTTTTGTGTGGACCTAATATTTTTAACTTTTATCTATACAAATATTACAAAGTAGAAAGACTTGATTGTTTGTTTGTTGTATCGAGTAGGCTCCGAAACTTCAGGACCGATTTTTAAATTTTCTTGCTACAGTAAACTACGAAAAGAGTCTGATAAGTACTTATTGCATTCTAATAAGCCCAGACGGCTTATTATAAGCCTACAAAAAAAATTGAAAATTGGCGATATATTTCTGAACAATCTCCTTAAGGATCGATACACTTGGCCCAGCGATGCTCCAACTTTTTAACCCTTCTGAAAAATACGTTTTCTCGAGATCTGCACAGGCTTTTGTGTTGTGATGATCGAGGTGGGAGCCTATGTATTATCAAGATGGAAGAGTACTGTTCTTCACCATATCGGGTCGTTTCTTCTGCAATTGCATTTAAACAGCGTGAAACACTGCACTGGTTACGTCTGTTATCCGGCACCTATCGCGCCGATAGTTTTCTCATGCCCAAAATTTCATGTAGGATGACAGACTTTTGAGATGCCTACTATCTCAGCCAGCAATCTCGCGCACCTTCAATGACAGTCTGCCAATACGAGATCTATTAAACCCGAGGCTACACGAGGCTCTATAAAACCCGACCACGTTAAAACTCTTTCAACCAATATTAGACGGTTGCCATCGAAGGCAATTGAAACTCGGGCAATTGCTTTCAATAGTCCAATTGGGCCAGCGTGGAGGGTCAGGGCCCATCCTCCTTAAACATCCATAAGGCCTGAGCCCCTGCAGTGGGGACGTAAAAGGGCTGATGATGATGATGATGATGTATGAACTGACCGATTATCAAAATTATGATTAATAGAGTAAATGTCAAATATTCCGATTCAAACAACCATTGTCAAATAAATAAGTATATTTTTTTAACTATTAATGTAATAAAAGATAACCTTAATACATTTATCTACTACCAAACAAATTGTAGTATGAAATAAAGATAAATACAAGGGACCTTTTATTTAACGTATGAAAAATATATAATAATAATAATATTTTTTTAATTATTCATAAGTGACATATCATTCACTACACTTATTTAAGAAAACTGTAAAGGTATTATAAACACGCAAATACCATTAATTATACCGTACTAACTTATTTCTATTCTATTATTAATATAACACATAATCAATACCTATGTATTAAAACTGCCTGCTACATAATATACAGTACCTACTTATGTACACAAATCTAATTAATTATAAGCCTGAGAGTATTCTTTAAAAAAAAATAAGAAACCATAATGTAATTATAAAAAACCATTAAAAATATCTTTACCCACGTGATGGTTAAAATGTAAACATATAAACTCATACACTCGTGTTCACAGAAATGAGATATATTTCTGTGCTCTTGTCTATAGTCAAGAAAAGTAATTACTTCAGAAAA